AGATGCGCCGTCCTCGTTGGATACAGAGCACAGGGAGTATCCTCCAAGGGGGATTACGTGGCGCGGGGGAAACAAACGAAAAAAAAAGTAAACCAAAACATGTTAGTAAACAATCTCCAGGGCAGCACACACAAGCACAGAGTGTATGCGTCCTCTCCGTGTGCACACAGACACAGGTCAGCACACAGCCAGGAGGCCCAGCACACCAACCACAACCAGCAGCAACGGTGTACGCACCCACGGAGGACTGACGCTGCTGTCCCTACTCGGGGCATCACTCAGGGTGTTTTGTGCATCGCTCTTGGAAGGTGTCGGTGGCGCATCCGCAGCTTGGGAAGCAGCGTTCTCCAGGGATTCTGCGACTGTCTTCTCTTCCGATGGTACTGAGGTTGACTGCTCTGTATCGGTCATCGTGGTGCCAGCTTTCTGTTGACCAGAAGGCTTCTCGTCAGTGGAAGTACTGCTCGGTGGATCCGGTGGGAGACTCTGGCTGTGTGCCTCGTCCTGTGACGGTTCCGAAGGTTGATGTGACGAAGACTGAGAATCTTCAGGCGAAACATCAGATTTCTTTTGTGGGTTTTGAAGAGCCTTTAATGCGGCTTCGATCTCCTCCAGCCATAACTCAGCGCTCTTGACGGCTGTATCAGCGTTTCCAGTTGCCTTGTCAGCGGCATTTGAAGCCGCTGACGCGCCATTTACTGCAGCCGTTGCGAGGTCCGTAGCCTTTTTAGCGGCCGCCTTTAAATCCTTGATTCCAGTTGACAGTGTTTGAGCAGTTATCTCATTGGAAAAACCAAGCGCTTCCTCAGCGCTCTTCATGGCATAAAAAGCGTTCACCTCATTCGTCAAAGTCTTTTTTGCTTCTTCAGAGCATTTCTGGGCCCCTGAGAGTTCCTTCAGAACTGCTGATAGTTTTTCGAATTCCTCCCTTGCTAGCTTCGCCTTTTTGGTGATAACTTCTTCCACATTATCCGCTGCGCTGCCAGCTATCCCCTCTGCTTCCGTCAACAACTTCTCTGCATTAGTCGTTGCTTTCTCTGCTTGCATAACTTTCTCACAGAGTGAAGTAACGGATTTGTGAGACGTCTTAGTCGCGCTCAAGACCTCCTTCGCCAAGCTGGTCACCTTAGCAGCATTCTCCTGCTGGGCAACCGTATTTTCCCCCACGTTGCCATTAAGATCAGTTGCTGCTTTTGCTGCCTTGTCTGCCTCAGCCTTGAAGCTAACCGTTGCTTGCTTGATTGCCTCCACGTTACGCCTGACGTCATTTAGCGCAGTCTTGGCCTTATCCACCTTATCCTTCCCCTTCTGCGGGTCAAGCATAACTGTCTCCTTCCTCTGCCCACCGATGCCCTCAGCAGTGGCCGCTGCACAGCCACACACGCAGCACAGCACGACGGCCACCACAAACAACGCGGGACGCACCACCGC